TAGAATAAAAATATGTGGTTACTGAGAGAACAGCAAAGAAGTGCCCACCTCTCTCCCATACTCTTGGTTTGCAACCACGTGACAAAGTGGCCATGTTGGGAGTCAAAACAATAGAATTAAATATCGACGAATCTACATGAAAATAGAGCTGAGTTCCCAGGAGAGCAGAAAAATGCGTTTGTTCTTCACTTCCAACATGGCCGCCGTGACGTCACGTGCAAACTTTAGGATCCAAGGACGGCGACGGCAGCAAAAACATCGCTGAAAAAGTGAATTCGCGTTCATTCAATCTTCATCGCATCGTTCCAACTCACTTACTTTGTCAAATGTAGGCGAACTCTCCAGTTGAATTCCCAAAAGTTCCAATTTCAGAAAGAGAACGTGTGGTCTGAAAATCAACTGCAACAAACTCGGCGTCTATCATTTGTGGTGCTTACAATAGCTCGAAAAATGTATCGCGCCAAAAGTCAACTATAAAAAAATTAAAGAGCCAGGTGGTGTAAAAACTAAAACACCCAGTAACAGTCGTCAGCTAAGGACGAGTTAATCAGTCAAATAAGCCAAAGTTTACGATCAATTACTTAAACCCGGTTGTTGCAACTACCCCGCCGATACGGCTAACTTTACAAATACCAGGTTCTTGTCCCGTAGAGCCTGAGATCTAAACAGACAACAGCGTCGTGGTTCAAATGTTGCGAGTAAATGGAATATTCAAGTGTGCAGTATATTGAAATCACTCAGTTCCTTTGCACAGTGTAACACAGACCAGATATGAACTAAATTAAGTCAGAATAAGTTGGCATTCCCTCTGGTGTTCATTTTATTGACTCTAATAACTTCTTTTTTGATCGCGTGTCAGAAAATTGGTCACTCTCGTATGAAGAAATATTACATATACTAATCAAAACTGCTTAAAATTACACAACTGTAAACTGTTTTCCTTGAAAAAACGCCAACCTCTCATCCAAAAATTTCGGCTAGCAGTGAGTAGTTGGTCACTTTTCCAGGAGAGCTTAGTATAAGGCGCAAAAAATTCCTTTGCTTTAAAGAACTGCCACTTTACGTTGGCTTAATCTTCATACCGAAAAAAATAGAACTGCTGTCCTTTCTATTTCTATATTGATGTGCGTGTCGTCAAATTTAAAAAATATATATAAACGTAAAAAAGAGAGTTTTTTCCCATTACAATTCAACAAAGTGAGGCCAGGGGTGGAGGGAGGGGGAGGGGTTAGGGGAGGAGCATTTATTGGCTAATTTGGCCAAATAGGTTGGTGGGCGCTTTTTTGAGAAACTACATACTGAATAGGGAATTTTTATGGTTATGCTCCTGGTGACATTAATTGAGCGTATGATTTCCCAAACAGAAACATGGGCGGCGTTCAGCTGGGCGTTTAACACCAGTAACAGGCCTTGATCAACACCAGTAGATTTTTCAATACCAGTTATGGTTTATTTTTTCTAATTCTTGTTTTGCAAACAAGCCCAGACAATTAGCCAAGGTAAACATAAACTAAGATCTGGTAAACCGGTCAGCCTCTATTCACCCGCCTGTCTTGTCGCAAATACGTTGTTTGCGCAAGTGTCACTACCGACGTCTGCATGACTTGAAGAGCAAACCTATTAAGATCTTGTTCATAATAGTATTTTTAAGTTTATTTAGCTCGCAAAGTCTTTTGTGTTTACGGTTCTCCACAAGAGACCGTTTAGAGTGATCTTCATATAGTTAACGTGTGGACCAGCGTGTGTAGTTCACTTCAATTTCATTTTCATCTGATTTTGGGCATGGTAAATTTTAAATGTGTGATAATGACTTTGAAACAACGGAAAATAAAATTTACACCCTAGGATAAAATTAAATTCCAATAAATGCGTCTTAAAACATCAACGGACTCTTGAGAGAACATAGCATAAACTTCTGAAAAAAAATATTTCAATTTATACTTCTAGCCAAAGTCACGACAAAAATTTACCATCCCTCATCCCTCCTCCCTTCCCTTTCCTCAACCAATTAAAACTACCGTTCGCACTCAGCTGCTTGAATTAGTTTTCTCCTGCATTTCCTTAACTCCGAACCAAATATGTAAACACTGCTTAGTTACTGCCGCAAATGCAGCAAAATGAGTCTGCGCAGTGAGAACAAGATCGAGTCGCAGATCAGTACGACTGCGCCACAGACGAAACTAAAGTCTGTTACTATAACCCTGTACCTGTTGATGGGGAATATTTGCCCGAAAAATACAAGTTTAATGAAACCATTCTTTTGTTATTGATTCGCGTTATTTATCATATCATTTAACATACTAATTATAAGCAGGAGTCTAGTTTCCGCAACACACCTGCTTGGTTGTTGAAAAGTTGAAATTAAATTGCATTTATTGCTTACCTGTCAAGCTCTAAGTCATTGTCTGGAATCCGTGGCAAACTTAGAAGACGAGCGCATGAACATCTTTTCGAAACACAGAGAGATCATTGGGCCCGGTTGTTCCGGACGGTAGATAGCGCTATACAATGGATAAATCACTATCCAGTGGATAAGTTTCTAGGGAGACCAATCGCGTTATCCACCGGATGGAGATTTATCATAGCGTCATCTACCGTTTTAACAACTGCGGATAGAACAAGTCGAGATTTTGGCGGGCCCCATTTCATTGGATAAGGATAATCTTTTTGCGCGGTATTCCAGCCATGTCCTTAGGTCCTACTCAGTTTTTTTTTTTTTTTTTTAGTTTTCTTTCGTTTTCCACCTGCTTCAATTCCACCTGGTTTATAACAAAAACAGACTAACATCTAATGCTCCATTTAACGATTACAAAGCAAGTCCAATTGTTTTCCTTGCATCCATGATGTTGTCCAGATTTGTCTGTCATGAAAATGACACATTTCACTTGTTATTAGTTATTATTATGTATCTGACACCACTTAATACCAACTTTTTCCATGTTTAAGTGTTTTCAAGCAACGTGAATCCAGACATAGTAAACAAAATCCAACTGCTCTATTAGACTAGCCAATCCAAGTAAATATATGTACAAAATTGCAAGACTGAAGAGCGTTTAATTTCACAAAATTAATAAGACAGATTATGCTCTTTTTGTTGTAGGACAACGATTCTAAATGAATTTTTAGAAACATGAACGTCCCAATTCTCTGTGATCGCCAATGTGAATTTTATTTAAAAAAACTGTTGTGTTTTACTTAACAGTAAAAATTCAGTTTTTACTTTCTGGAAAAACTCGTTTAGTTGTTATCGAATCAATGGTTAGTTGATGAAATTTTATATTGTATATTGATTGTCAATAAAGAAGAACCTGTCTGAATTACTATATATGTGGATCCATTTTTAACCTCTGCAAACATTTTGTTTGCAGATGCACCAGCTAGTCTTAAAAAGTCAACACAGCAAGTTTTTTTTTCCTTTATAACGATAAAAATAGTTTAGTCATCACTTTGTGAAGAACGTCTATTAAACAGTATCCAAATCTGGTTATAAATTAGCCCGGAGCTTGCTCAGTTTATGGACTGATCAATGACGATCTTTTTTCAGTTGAGCACATGGTCACACAAAAAGCGGGTAAAATCAGCATTAGGAAGCTAGACTAAGTGTCAATTAAATGTTGAGTGAGTTTCCCTATAGTTAACCAACTCAGTTTAAAACCACTTCTTCTATAAGCAATCTATACACTAGAAATAACATGTTCATGACAACCTTGCGCTAATTTCAGGCTAAGATATGAATGAGTTGTACGATGTGAGGAGCAGTGCTCTCCAGAATTTCTGTCAGAACCAAAAAAATTAACTTGGATAAGTAGACAATGGATTTGTTTTTGGGTGGGTTCATTGAAATTTGTTTACTGGCTAAAATTTTGATATCGTATTAATTTTACTTCAGTTTAAATATCAATCTTTGCTTCGATTTAAGGTGGAACGTAATCTCACAAATTTTCAGATTTCCGAAATACAGCGTGTCCTAGAAAGGTGGAAAGAACGAGTTCCTGTCAAAGTCTTGTCGATTAAAACAGAAATTATTTCAAAAAATATAACAGATGTTACAATAAAACATTGGAATACTGATCATAAGAATTTTCTCGTCATAGTCACCCACTATTCAGTACATAGGATACACTGAAATAAAAAATTCAACCCTAGAGATTGTAAAACTATTAAAGGATCACCCAAGCGCAATTCCTTGTTACCTTTAAAAATAAACATCATTGTCGTTGCTTTTTCATGAAATCATGGAAAAGAAATGAGTCTTATCGCTTGGACAACTCTTTTTTTATAAGCGAGGTCGCCTCAAGACAAAATAACCTGTCACTAGTTAAATCGCCTTTGTGGAGTTCCCTTCCTTATAGTTGGATTTATTGAAAGTGCTGATAATACCCGGTATTTTCCACCTGAAAACTTATCTTACATGTCGTGCTTTTCTTCTATAAAGAGGCTTTTAAGTACATTTAAATGACAGCTTTAGTTTAAAGAAAGGAAATAGAAAGAAGAATATGTTTTACAAAACAAAAGCCGTATGGGGCCATGTTGATTAGAAAGATACATAAAAGAAAGGTTTGTTGTTTTTCGACGAGCGATCGAACGCCACGCTTTTTTCAACCAAAATTTTACTCGATAATTGAAAAAAATTGGGCCTCCAGTTAATTTGATATACTTTAGTCTTTAGCTGTTTTACTGATCTTTTATCTGTGGAAAGTTTTTAAAAATTGGAAGGTGACTGATAATGAACGAGGTATATTTCGTAATGACGTTGAAAATTATGTCTCACTCGGCTTCAAGTTCTTCCTCGTCTCCATTCATGGTCTTCCCATTGAAAAGCTTGGTTGAAAACAAAGGAAAAATGGTTTCTAAGCAATTTCTAAAGACAGCTAAAGCAATTTATTCATTTAATTAACTTCGCAGGTTGGTGAATAAGTTTTGAAAGAAAGCAAGGAGAAAGAATATCAAATTAATAAATTATAGCTTAACGCGCAGTAGACATCAAACCATTTCAAATAGCACGTTTTTTATTTTGCTTTTCTGTTATCGTACAAACTTATATCCTTTTTTTATTATAAATGTCTTCTAGTCTTAACACTGGATACGTGGAAGAATTTTATACAAATGTATGAACTATGGATACGAATACGGTGGCTTTCGCTATGCGTACGACTGTTGTGAATAAAAGGTCCTCAATGGCCTTGAATTGTTATCGATTGTTCAATGTCGCAGAGAAAAAGAAAACCTTCACAGAAGTCTTCTTGACTGGATAAACTTACTCTAGATATAAGAAATTTGAATTAAAAAGTAAGATTTTTACCATTTTAGCGTCCATTTGGGTGCCTTGATTTTATATGACGATCCAAATCTCTTCTTCTTACGAGAACTTTCCCGCAGTACTGGCATTTGTAGGGAGTGTCTCCAACAGCATGAAGGCGAATGTGTTTCGCCATATTGCTAGGGTCTCCGAACCTCTTTTGGCAGTATTTGCACTTGAGCGGTTTATATCCAGTGTGAATCCGCATGTGGATTTTGAGCCCGTATTTGCGGGTGTACAATTTTCCACACAGCTCGCACAGGTATCCTTTATTAACTTTCTTGGAGTTAAGATCGTTTATCATCTCCTCGTTGCATCCCGTCTTTGGTTTATCCGGCCCCAATTGACCTCCGTTCAAACTCGTCCCATCCGGGTTTGGAGTAGTTGAAGATGAAGGTAATCGGTTAACATTTTGCTCTGCTCCGAACATCATCGGACCTGATGGATTCATTACTGGTTGGCCATTTAGCGGTGGAAATCCCTGGGCCGGAAAACCGTACTTGAAAAAGGGCATCGCAGACGGACTACAAAGTGGTGGACGAGGCTGCAGCAAAAAGGCGGGATTAGTCAACATATCCATTTGATTCTGCGAAAATGCAGAGTCCTGTGACAAATTATACCGCATTCCATTAAGTCCATTTAGTTCGTTCAAAAGCGGTCGCGAGATTGATGGAAATTCCGAGGAAACTGGCACAGATCCAAGCTCGGGACTTTTAAAGCCATTGAAACTTGCAGAGCTAAATGATTGCGGCGATTGACCCACTGGAGGTACGCTAATCGGCGAATTTTTCAATCCTTCCTTAATCCCAAATGTTTCGGCCGTAAAGGAAGGCAAACTCACAGGGGTTAGCGGCGTAAGAACAGGCTGGAGCTTGTCTGGAGATCTGACGACCTGCAAGTCGGAGCTTGAGTGCATCAAAAACCCAGGCGGTGATGCTTTGGATGATGTGGAGCTCTCTCCTCCTGAACTTTGCAGCGACTTTGGGCTTTCCTTCATCAGGAACGAGTCGGTGTTGAAATTTGAGAGGAAAGGAAACTGATTCATGGCCAGTGAGAGGTTGTTGAAGCTATTAAAGCCATTTAAGCCATTCAAAGAACCCGGCATACTGTTGGATAAATTAAGTCCAGATGAGGAATGGCCTCCGTTTTTGTCATCGTGAACTGACACGTCGGATAAGAAACCGCTGCCATTATGGTGATGACTCCTAGTCGATTCTCCATCATGTTTTAGACCTAGCGCTGGATCAGTGTCCTGTTTAGATACCTGTATCCCGTCCGTATCCGAGTTTGGACTCAGGAACAAAGTGCTCATTCTCGGCCGCCTGTTCAACGGGTTGTTTCTACTTGAAAGTTGACTGGTGTGTGAGTGTGCTCGCTGACTGTGAAGCAGGGTCTCTTTATAGCTCTTCGTACGGTTTGTGGCGCACTCAAATGCGATGTGCGTTTTAAGTGTGTTTGGGAATGCAAACACTTGCGAGCAGTGGTGACAAATATATTGGTATTCACCTGTGAAAGAACCGACAGGTGTAGCAAAGTTAATGACACGTGCTATTAAACCAGCCAATCAGAAGCGCGTTTCACGGGACAGCCAAACAGCGATTCAGTGACACGTGCGAAAGGCCCTAGGTTCCTCCGCCTTCGCTACTGGCTTACAACTTAAATAATATCGGCGCTCGAGCGCGGAGGGTTATTAATATTCAATGGTATATTTATAATTAACCAGCCATGCTGTAATTAGCTTCACCACTATCGGCCGAGAAATATCAAATTTTTTCAAAATGAGCGGTTTTTTAATGTAGTTTAAGTTTTCGGGGTGCACTGATGATAACTATCTGCGTTAGGCGGAGAATGGGAGAAACTCGATTAGTGTACTGCGCTAAGTAAAGTTCACTGATTTTTGAGACAATAAACTTTGCCACGAGGGTCATTCAATTCTATTGTTAGATCTTTTGTTAATGACTCCGGCCAATCAAATTACGCTGTCTGTTGTGCTTTTTAAATTGCTCTGTGTTATAATGGGCGCCGTTGCCTGGGCGAAATCGGGAAGCGGTTAGAATACGTAAGCTGCACTTTGCAAACAGCTGAGCCGCTCTGCAAGAGCTAGGACGTTGGAAGCATAACCAGCGATAAACCGGTAGATAAAAAAGTTTTACCACGCTTTTTGATTCAAGATCGTCCTTTTAGCAGGTGCCAAATGGTGGCCGTAGTCATTGCACGTGACCCGTTACGAGCTCGGTGTCGAGTTGTTTAGTTCGCCCTTTGCTGCCTATATATCTTAGAATTGCCACAAAGGGATGGCTGTTCAACCCACACAATAGATGTATCACGCTTTATACATATATAATTTCGACACGCGGCTGAAAAGGGAAATCTTTTGTCCTTGGAATGTATCCTAAGCCAACAGATGCAAAAGCAAGTTCGAAGTCTCAGACCGTGCAGTCTCCTTCGGTACACAGGGATAACTAAGTTAACGGGTAAAATCACTCTTACCAGCGAACTAGAAAGTAGCCACGGAACGCCAAACGGGTGAGCCATTTTAGTAGATTATTTGAGGCACCCGGGTACCGGACCAAGAAAAATGGACTTTAAATGACTTACGGTTGCGTTTAACAGACATGTTAAGGCCATGCACGTGTTGCATTGTTAACCGTAGCGCCACAATGAAAGTACCTACGAACAGGAAATGTTTTGTTCGCCATGGCTTAATGTGAGAGAATGCAATCCGACGAAGCAAAACAAAAGCTGCTACCAGCTCCTTAGATAAATAACATCAGCACAATTAAGTGAGCAGTAACGACGCGAAATATTCTCTATAACTCAACAAGGAGTTGGAGAACTTTTGAACAATTTGTTATTTTTTATCTGCAAGAAAGTCGGCTGGAAATAAGAGAAGTAAATATAAGCCATTTGTAGTTGGTTGACCGCGATAACTTGGAAGGAACCTCGAAGGTGTGGCAACAGAATTCCTTCACTTGTTACGGTTCTACATGGTACTTTAACACTGATTGTCGTAATGAGAATTAAACAACTGTTCCATCTTGGAAGAAAAAGTAGAGGCTTCTAATAAATCGAAATGCTTCCGCAAGAACGAAAATCGCAGTTACTTCACTGTCAAAGCGCTACAATTTGATCACTACGTCCCTTGACATCCCAGCTAAACATTTTATAGATTGAATTCATTCTTGTCGTGTTTCCTAGACACCGGAAATTGATTTCACTCCGAAGGTGTTAAGGTAGTAAACAACATTTGTACTTTTCTGGTAACATTAGCGCACCTCTGACTGAAAAATTCGTGATATAAAAATATGGCCGTTTATAAATGAATTTGGAGATGTTTTTCTCCAAAAGAGGGCAGTCACTTTTTCGTGAGCTTTTCGGTATCTTCGGAGCAATCCCAAAAATTGTACAATTTTGGGAAAAAAAGGCACTCTAAGGATTTTTGCTTGGAATATCGATTACGCCATCACGTTTATTGGAAAAGGAAAATGATCATCAAATGAAAATTTTTCCATTGTTTGTAGAGATATCAATTTACTACTTATATTTTCATATTCTCTTATCACCCTGAAAACCACGCGACAATGTCTTTTAGAAAATCAATTAAACTTTCTTTTCTCTTAACTTGCTTTTAAAGTCATAAACAATTTTTCTGTGATGTATACATATATATATATAAAAATTCTTGCACATGGAGATCAGCACTTTTTCTTATATGAGCTTGTAAATGCATTCAAACGTGAGAAGTGAAGCAAGCTGCGGCATAGACTCAACAAATTATATACCAGTCGACACCAGTAGTAATAAAACTTGTTCGCAAGGGTTAAAAACCAGAAAAGAGGTATAATGTCCCATTTTTTAACGCAACGTTTAATCGCAGAAGGCACGAAAAGATGGATATAAACAAAGCCATTGCTCATTGTCATACATTTTAGACAAATTATACAAGAGTTCGTTTGCAAGAAGAACAAGAAGATTTCATAAAAGGGGCAATTGAAAAGCCGAGAATTAAACTAAACAGAGACCTTTTATGAAAAGAATAATAACGAGATATTATTAGTTGTTATTTTCTCAATTTTTCTTTGAACTGAAAAGCAATTATCGGATATAAATTGACGCGTTAATCAAAGTTTGGATAAACACGGACCTTCTGAATCTACCACACCAATTTGACATGTGTAGTTGTCATTTTTTGTAGCATCGTCATATTTTTTTTCCGAAATGACTCATTTAAACTGGAAAACAACCTTCAAAGGCGATTGTTTCAATCAAAGACGGAACAAAGTAATGTTATAAATCATTTATCTTTTGCAGACGGATCACTTTTATTTTTAGTCAGACTGATGTGATTAAGAGAAACGAAAACGAAACAAATATGAAGTTCACGCGAGCTTCAATTTCCCATTTAGCTCCGCACCTAAGCAACTTTTTGCACTATATTCTTTCAGAAAAAGCAACACAGATTTCTCAGTGTTGTTTTGTTCCATAATAATTATGAAGGCAAATTAAAGTGAAATTAAAAAAGAATAGGCTTGATACAATCTTTTGTAAAATGCACCCGGTGCAGAAATGTCTTTTGAAGTTGAACTGTTTTTAACTTTGAACAGAGCGGAAGAAAGCCTAGCTATTAACTGCATGCTAGCTGCGGCAACTTCTCGAAATTGCAAAAGTGTTTGTCGTAACACACAGAGACTGAATTTGCCAGATTGGTCGCCAGCAGAGTTATTAACTCATGCGAACACTGTTTAACAAAGAAAGACAAAAACAAAGAAATCACATGTTACCTGAACAATACAGATACCTTGTATGACAGCTTGCTTTGCTTAGTAGCGGAAGACGGTGGTTGTCTCTCCCTTTCGATAAGATGCAGTCAAAAAGAGCAAATAAGCATACCTCGGCCCCGCCCGCTCAGCGCGTTGACTTCGCATATTAGAATCTTTTAGTATTTTATTTTGGTTTGAATGTTTTTCTTGTTTGTTTTTTTTCCCACGTACTCTGCTTCCTCGAGAAACAATCGTTTGGCAGTGAACCTCAGCTATATAACAATATTTTGTTTTTGATACTTTTCTCAAAACATTTACCAAGGCCCCTTCCACACGAATTCGGATATTTTTAAAACCGCATATTTCACAGTTTAATACAAATTGACCTCCGGTCCACACGAAACCAGTGAAAGACGTGAAACCACTCATTCATCCGCGCCCTATTCGTATAAAAAAGAAATATCCGGATTGCGCGTGGACGGGACCCAGTTAAACTATACCTGTCCACTTCTCATGCATTTATAATTGATGAAAAATATGCTGGTCAACGCGTGCAGCTTTTTACAGCCTAATTTATTAAACTGAATTTTCAGTGACGTGAGTGAGGCAAAATTATACAAAAATGAAAAATTGCCAAGACAAGAATAACGAGTAAATTCTTTATGTACACTTCCGATATTTCGAACCCTCGGGTTTTCGAAATTCCCAATTATTCTTCCCTTCAACTGTCAAAAGCTGCAATTTTAACCCCGTTTTTTTAAGCCTCAAGATAATTCGAACCAATCGGCTTTTCCCAAGGTGTTTCGGGAAATCAGGATTCCATTGTAGCTTAATATAGGGTATGACATCTGTAAAATCAATTGAAGTGGTCAGTAGAAACCTCTTTACATACTTTGTTTCACGGCATTAAGTTCCTGATACCGCAGCCTCTATTAACCAGAGTGCTGCACCGGTATCGCAGAGGTCAAGAGTTCGAATCTTGTACAGCTACCTTTATCTTGCAACTGCAAAAGTTGAATCTGAAACTACGACAATCGTGATTCCTTACATTTAATTCCTTGTCCCGCAGTTCTGAAATATAAATTTCATGTATTCATGGTTTCATTAAATAGACTATTTGTAGGGGAAATGGCCAGTTTCTTTTCATTTTCCTTATTTATCTGTCGTGCTATCTTACTTTCCAGTAATTTATCGGTAATTTTTCCTAACTTTGCGAACTCGGCAGTGCAAAAAGGTTGTTGACTTTGGGATTATTGTTTATCCTTCTTTTAGTGCAAAATCCTAATTTTTAATAAATGCATTCATCCGTTAAGAGAGCTGACTGTTGCCGTTCGCTGAAGATGCCACTGAATATTTAATAGTGAATATCAAATAAAGATACGGTAAAATTCATCTCATATGTTCCAAAGTACCATACGTATTTTTCTTCCACATCTTCTTTTAAACACCTAATAACTTGAAGTTGTTTTGAAAAGCACTATTGTATCATTAACGGACCAAAACGATTATACATATTTAACTTGAATATACCACCTGTCGGTAAACTATTTCTTCAGTAAACATTAGCCGCGAAAGAATAAACCTCGCACCATGAAAACTATTAGACTTGTACATTTTCGCGGGCTTTTGGCGATGACTTAAAATCAACCCGAGTACTTTATTCAAAGATTTCATATTTTTACCTACACCAGAAATTTTCTTGGGTGTCGTAGCTTGACTATCTTTTAGCTCTTTTTTATTTTTTTTAAGTCTCAACTGAATTTAGTATTTCTTCATTTTCCGAAGGGAATACTGTTTTCTTTAACTTTTAAAACCGTAAATAATGCCTGGCGCTCAAAGCGTTAATCCATTAAAAAAGAGATTAGTGCATCTGTTTCTTACATAAGGCTCTCTCCGGGACAGGAAATCCTGATTGTTTCTGTTTTTTGGTTGACGCAACAGTAAGGAGGACAATTCTTAAAGAAGTTAGATTCCTGCTAAAAATAATAGAGAATGTTGCCATTAATGCGGTGTAATTTTCTGCGCGAGTGATTTTGTACAATAAGCCACATGTTTAGGCCTGATTTTGCGGGTTCGTACCGGCTGCTTTTGCCCAGTAACACATTACAACGTGAAATTATTGATCCCTTATTTGAAGATGCTCTGTGGGCATTGATTATTTAGTTTAACTTATATTCTTTTTATCTGACTCCGCAAGAGAATATTTTGAATTCAACGTGTGTACAATGGAACTTGGGCGTTGGCAGGTTTTGGTCAATAAACAATATCCTTTGCTCGCGACTTGTTCATATATTGCAATCGTTACATAGAGGGAGACGAGAGAACAACTACGGTTCTTGATGGTAATTAAGCGAGGTACTTAAATTATTAATCTGAATAATCTTGTTTCGAAGAAATCAAACTAAGGTATCATGTAACCTATTCACTTAAAATCAAGTCGATACAACAATAGCATTGAAGTGAATTGAGATAATACTATAATGTTAAGTCCAGGAGAGAAGGAAATGTACATTCTTGATATAACTCAAATTTATAATGATGACCTTAACTCGGCATAAACGGCTTTATATTAGCCTGTTTCTCAGTATCAGGATGGTTACTTTTTAGAACTCGCCTTCTGTTGCACTTTATGTATGCAAGTGGAATCATAAAACTGATTGCTCAATGTCCTTTTATCAGAACAATAAAACCACATGTTAGCAGAATTCGAGAACCGTCGATCACGCTAGCTCTCATTCGGCATTAATAGCACTAAATCAATATAAGAAAAACCCACTCCAAAAGTTAGTTTCGCAATTTCCTGACACAAGCCTAGTACATGTGGCTCTCACTTAGATCTTTGCACATTTTCCTTAGCATCATGGCCGGTCCAGTGACTTGTTTATTTACTTTTTTAAAACCTCTGTCCGGAACGGCTAGCCTTCGGTAGCCATGAAGTACAAAGCAAATGATAGAAAGCTCATTCTGCAAAAGCTATAAAAACGGGTTTGATGAACAACTTTAATATGTTGGAACAATGATCAACGATACTTCAATACAAGATTATATCAAGATTCTATCAGCTTAAACAATTGGACATATTGAAATTAAAAAAACGCGATTGAAAAATACATATTGCTATTAAAAGAATGATTAACCTGTAAGAAAAGTGACAAGAATCGAAACATTATTTTTAATTTTTTTAATCTCAGACGTTGAGTTTTTATGTCTCCTTGTAAAATTTCTGACATCTCTAAATATTAGCTCTACCTTGCAAATTAAATATAACCGGGCATTAAAAAAACAGCGCAAAGTTTACTTAAGGTACATCTTGGTCGCTGGTAATGTAATTTGGAGCTGCCGATTTTATGATCACAACTTCAGTACCGGATCAGAACAAGAACTTTTATTACTTACACCCATTCAGGGCTTAACAAGTCACGTCATGTGAGAGGTATCTAAGATGCAAATTACAAATGCCTCTTGAATCTCTTACCACTCAATTACGCTAAATGAGTAGGACAATACAGACACATGCTAGGCGTTATTGTGCCTGTATAACTAACGCACAATAAAAATACCTCAAGAACGAGCTGGTCTGCTTAGTAACGCTTATTTTTTCATGGACATAATAGGCGCTCTTTACGTAGCGATTATCGGCTTTTAGTCATCTGTTGCGGCAATAAAGTCACTAAGGTCTATGAAAGCTTTTAAAAAATCTTGAGTTTGGTCGAACTGTTGTGTCTTTTATAACTCATTAAGAGATCCTATTTTATTAAAGAGTATAGTTTTACTAGCAACTTTTACTTTTCTTTGGTAGCGCGAGCTAATTTGAAAAAAGCTTTTAGTGAGTGTTGTAAATAGTAATTTAAAAAAGTCAATTTTCGGTTTATGAACAGACAATGGAGTTAATTTTTTTGTTTCATCTGGAGTATTTCTATGAGCTTTCATTGCCTAAAAGTGAAGCAAAAAAGGTTCATCTTGAAGTGAGACTTATAGAAATGTTCGGATCTGCATTGTGATAAATACCACGTATGCAAACACGCTTTCCCGAGAGAAGTATTGAGCTTAAGTCTTTTCTCAAAATAACTTGATAATAACTCTAATCACTCCTCAAACCAGAAAAAGTGTAAGGAATGCAAAAGTGGGTAAATAGCTAGAAGTTAGGACAGGAGCCCATAGGGATAGAAGCCTCAGCAAATTAACACCCTATGACCGAAAACAAAAAAATCCAGTTCTAGGCTTACAATTCTAAATCACTGTTATCGGAAACATAAAATAGTGCAAGGATCCATGGTTAAATAAGACCGGAATATTAAGTGTTAACAAGAGCAAGAAATTGTTAAATTTTTTAGGTCAGATTATAGCTCTAGACCGAAAATTAGTTATTTAGACATTGTTGAGGGACTCACCTTTGCTCCGACACTTTATTTAAGAGAGGAGGCACTCCGTCTTCCATACCATTAGGCCGGGATAAAAAGAACAGAATCCCTTCCCGTAACATTTGAAGGTTTGCAGATTCTTACATAATAATTCTACGGCAGCTAGGGTACTCGTTGAGAGGGAACCCTACAGTCACATCGATGGAACATTAGTAGATCAAACATAATCCAAGGTCATACCTTTGAAATCAAAGTGCTTGCAAGCGCTACCTCAGGCCAGAGTTCATTGAGGGAAAAAATTAGCGAAATGCGCCCAACAGCATCTGACCGGATAATACAGGAGAACTACCTGCTATTTATTGCAGGTTTTACTGATACCGTTTTTCTATTAGGAGGCGCGTGGACATATTTGTTAGCTTTTATTCCATAGTCTGCTCGCGAGAAAATGCAATGTGCAATTTTCGAAGCTTATCTAAAAAATTCCCACGATTTTCTGAAGTTTAATTTTTCGTATTTCACTCCCCACGCAAGTTAGGCTATTTTTCGTACAAAAAGGAGACCTAAAAATTTACGGATAATCGAAAGTTAATGTGATAGAGAGAGGAAGATTAGAAACATTCCTACTTTCGTTAAACGTTAAATTGTATCCAAAATATTTGGAGAAAATATACTGAAGACTTGAATGCTTTTGTGAAAATCAGATCACCAGAGTTCAAGTAAAGCTGGAATTCATCCTGTAATCCAAATATGGCTCTATCTTTTGTCGAGGTTACCGGCGGATACCTTCAGATGGAAACGTTTGTTAAAATTATCATATTTGGCTCATAGTAAAGGTTTAGGTGTGATCTTTATGAAAAAAAAATCAAAACAAAAACAAAAACAAAAAATGGAAAAGAGTAAATTTTGGTGGAGAAATGACGGTTTTTCGTTTGTACCGGAAGTAAAAGTTACTCTTTCAATTTGATTGAAACCCAATGGTGTTTTTGACGGGAATTTCCATGCGGCCGGTGGATGAATAATCGGGACTGTTTTTCTTTTAGTTAGCGACTCGACATTGCTGTTAAATTATATCATCCTCTCTCTATGTCAATACTAGTCGGCCCAGTGGAAGCTGCCGAACTTTCCCTTCTACCGGCGGGTTTGGTTTTCGACCAAGCGTAGATGCATTTGTCGTCGGACTTTCATTTCCACAGCTTTAAAAGAAAAGGTGATTTCACTATTGATCCCAATGCAAATGTGGCTCGAAAGTCGAAACGTGAGGTTGTTTGAAAATAGAAAGAGGACCCAAAAATCGAACTGAAGTAATCTTATTGAAGCGCGGATTGGCAGAGATTCCTGAGAAGTATTTGTGGGCGGACTTTGTTTACGAAGCGAGGGAATTTTTTTAATCGCCTCTTTTTCTCGACTTATAATATTCGCTCAGAGGGGATACTTTAAGAAGCTGTAACTCCAAGGGAATTTGATCGATTGACTTAGAATTTTGAGGAATGTTACTTTAATGTGTAAGCAACAAATTAAAAACGTGTCGCAAAATTTTTTTGTTTTAATAAAACCTTTTTTGTTGACAGGCATTTTTGATCGATCATCCAACATCTGTTTTTTAGCGTTATTTCCAATTTGTTTTCAAATTTTTGATTGCAAGCGAAAAAGGGAAAACCCCGACACTTTTTTTAGAGCTTTGACTACCAAAAACACTTGAGCAAATCAAATTAGTAAAAAATAAATATCGCTTCGAGTTTTAGTTTTCGAAAGCTGATTCGGCCCTTCCCATTAAAAAATTCCTAAACAAAATTGACAGTGCAATTTTTCAAAAAACCGTTGGATTGTTAAGAATGCCAGTTTAATTAGCTTTAATTTGATATACGGTGTTAGGTATCTGCAGTTTAATTAGAACTCTTTACATAACCTGGGGTAACCTGAATGCCAAATCGAGTAAAAGCAGTGCCTGTTAGGACAGGAGTCATGTGACGTATAAACTTTAATTGTCTTTCGCCTTCGGCGGGAACTCTTGTGAAGAAGGTCGGTATTGACAGGTTAATGCACGGCAAGCGCACCCTAATTAGTTGTGAGTGTTGCTCACCCATTAGGTTACTGTTAGGCGGGAAAGGATTTGTTCTACTCAAATGCCCAGAATCGTGATTGAAGTACAGATCACAGTTAATGAAAGACGTTATAGGTGCATTCTGATTAACGCGACGTTCACACTTTACCGAATAGCTTTTGCGCAGGCGCGAATACCTTACGAAACCGGATAGGGTTTCTGTTCACACATAAGAACGGTTATTTTGGCGCGATTTCTGTAATGGAGCGAAGTAGCGCCGCACGGATTCCTAATTAAAGTGATGTTCACACTGTCTTGTACTATACTAGTCAGCTTTTCCTGACGGCACGAAAAGCTAGATCCGATATAGTATGAATAAGGGCCTAAGTAACTGTGCCTTTCGCTCCGTAGTATCGAAGTCGTCATCTCGATTAAGGCACGAACAATCGGAGGGAATTAAGTCAATAAACGCAACTCTGATTGGCTGGTTGGATTCAAACTAACTTCGAATTTAATAGTACCGCTTGAATTGTTTATTTAATTAAGAGCTATATAAGAGGGAATATCACTTTAAATGCTGTTCTTGTGCAAGTTAGGAGGCGGGCATCGAGTGATAAAGTCAAGAAGTGTACTGTTTAGTGTTTCCAAAATGTGATATTTAAGGTTAGACTAAACTTACTAGGCGACAAGTTGCAGCAACAAGTCGCGGCGACACATTGATATCGAATAGACCGGCTGTTGCCGAAAACACAACACTAAAATAAAGAAACGGTTTAGCAAACTTTTAAATGTATTCATTTATAATTTATGAATTGAGTTCGGCACGGCGGTAGCACGACGTTTAAAACTAAGTCGAGCTACTGCCGTGTAGCACGGCAAGGCTTGCCGTGCTACACTGCAGTAGCACGACTTGGTTTCAAACGTCGCGCTACTGCCATGCTAAAGTTGAATTTAATTCGATCAATTGAGTTCGGCACGGCAGTAGCACGACGTTTGAAACGGGCCTTAATTGGCAGGAGAATTTTTGTTAAAATCTTTG